TAAACAATAAATAGTAATAATAACGATAGTGACGGAGCATAAGTAATAATATTATATTTGTTTAAGTTTTAAAGAAATATTATAACTTTAGGATACGAAAAGAGCTTGCATCAGGCGCATGGTGCCCAAAACCACAAATTAAAGCAGGCTCGTATGAATTCTTAGAGGTTTGTGCCTTACTTTTTGAATTTCCTTTTTTTAATTTCAAATTCGTTGTTTTTTTAATTTAATGTATGCAGTTATGAAGTTTAATGAAAAAACAACACGCATATATCATCCATTTACCCATTTATATTTACTGAATTACTCATTTTAAATATGCGATATCGAAAGTCTCCTTTTAAAGTCGTAGTTCTAAAAAAAAAATAAAAGCAAGTGATTCATCAAAAATTTTTTTCCTAAATGATAATTAAATGTTATACGAATTTTAAAGTCAATTTTTTTCAAGTCTACTAAATTCTTCAATTTTTGCAAAAATTAAATAATTAACGATTTTAATTTAAACATTTCGGAATAATTTCTATTTTTTTCTTTTATCACTTTTTTTAGCATGATAAATAAATGGATGATATAATACATGCGTGTACATGTCATTTACAGTAATAATATGACGAAATTGACGGAAAAATTGAACAGCTGTCTCTTTTTTCAGTTAAACAGTAACATTTTAAACAAAGATCCATCAAAAATTTTGTTCCTAAATAACAATCAAATGTTATAGCAATATTAAAATTAATTTTTTTTAACTCTATCAAATTCTTCAATTCTACAAAAATTAAATAATTTATGGTTAAATGATTTCCTTCAACTATCTTTCTCCATTTATTACTTTTTGTGGTCTACAAAATTAACAACTGTCATATCGTATTTAGCAGTAATTTTAGAAATTTCCCATCAAAGCTTTATCTCTCTTTCGTTAACATTATCATTTTGCATTTTTATCAACACATTAATATTGGTACAGTTTAAGTAGTTGAAAAATGCTGATTTGAAAATAAAGATTGAATAATCGACAATTCGATTAAATTAGTAGAGAAATTATCAATGAAATAATAGAATCAATAAATTTTATTATTTTTTTTAGCATTTCTATTTTTAATTTTATTTAGCAGAATTTTAAGCGTAACGGTACTACTATAATTTAATGAAGATTACAGGTGAATTTTGAGCAGGTATATGTGATCACAGGAATTGAAACACAAGGTCGTTATGGGAATGGGACAGGTCGAGAATATACGACGCATTATACGATTGAATATCTAAGATTGAACAGTTCATGGATAAAGTATCACAGTAGAGCTTTAATTGAGGTATTAGACGGAAATGAAGATACGACGAGTACTGTACGGAGAGATTTGGATCCACCGTTTGTTGCTTCACAAATTCGAATTGTACCTTATTCAACGCATGCAAGGACAATGTGCCTGAGAGTGGAATTTTACGGATGTCCATATAATGGTCAGTTTCATACGTTTGTTTCTTTTCTACTCTTCAATTTTTCATTTTAATAAAATTTATTTGCTTTTATTTTTGTAAATTTTTAGGAAGGGAATGATTTTTGGAAGAGGAATAATTGAGTTCCTTTGCAGATAGAGAGTTTCAAATTTTGTTTGATTTCAAATTTGAAAATCACTTGAAAAATTCAACTTTTTTTTGCTATTTCAGAGTGATATTTTTATTTCTTTTCGGTATCCTTCAATCCATCTGGAAGCAGGAAATACTTTAAAAATTCAATTTTTTTGACAAAAGTTAATTTAAAAAAAAAAGGAGAAAAATTATTTGATGATATTTACAGATGCTTTAATGTTCTATTCGATGAATAATGATGGCTCCAGAATTGACAATTATGATTTTCGTGATAAGATTTTTGAAAAATCAAATATGCTTAGTCATTTCACAAATAATAAAAAGTAAGTATTGGAAAATTTTTCTTCATCATTTTAACATTTTTAAAATGAAAATAAATGAAAAAAAAGCGTCGAAATTTTTACGGAATAATATCTAATCTTTTTCAATTAACATTATTGACATTTTGCTAAATACCGTTTTAAGTAACGGCAAAAAATTTTAAAAATTTGTTTATTTGTTAGCATTTTAATTACGAAAAAGTCATTCTATGAAGAAAAAAGGAAAAAATAAGTATTAAGTTTTCTGAATTATCTTTATTTAATTTTCGAGAAAATAAGAAATTTGATTGGTCTGAATGAAATTGACTCTTTTTCCATTTTTAGTTTAAGCATCTATTTCATTTAATTTTATAATTTTGTTTTATTCAAAATAATGGAATCTTGTGGGTGAATTAAAATTATCATATAAAAGTGCAATGATTAATTGACCAAATAATTTACTTAGATATTCATTAATTAGTCTGATCTAAGTTTGAAAAAATAGTTAACGGTTTAGAAAAACTGTTTATTACAGTTACTGTTTATTACAGCTACTGTTTATTGCAATTACAATTTATTATATTTATTGTTTATTACAGTTTTACTTGTCAGATTATTGCAGTTGTTGAATTATATGTTTAATTTTTTTCATTACTGATATTATATTCAATCTTCAGATTTACTGTTTTGTTTTCATCAATTACTTATTTAAATTTTTAGCTAATTATTTAACTAATAACTTATTTAAATTTCAGAGGTTTAGGACTACTCACAGATGGTGTCATTGCTACAACAAATCCATTAGATGATATTACCGGTAGCAACAATATAATATCAGCATGGATTGGTTGGAATCAGTTGATAACTAGTAAAAATTGCTATATAGAATTTTATATGTTTTAGTAATAATGATTAACACATTGCTAATTACTAATTATCTTTTAATAATTTAGAAAATTTAGCTTCAAATATTATAAATTACTGAGTGCTTTTCAAATAAACGCCTTGCTTAATTGCCATTCGCGGTATTCTTCGATGTCAAATTTTCAAAAAATCCTGAATTA